GAGCAGGAGGCAGGCATGGTCTTCCGGCTCCATGGGAACTCTGCTTATCAGACAGCCAGTTCTGTATGCTGGTCGGCAGTCAAGGTCTCCCAGCTTCTTGGGACGCTGTGTGCATGACAGCGGGCCTGCAGGGCCTGCCAGATGATTTCTCCCATGGAACACTCTGTTTTGCTGGACCTGTATAACCTTGCTTCTTCACCCACTTACAGAGCGCTACCCCTCTGGCACAAATCTTGGAACAACTCGGACTCAGTCCAAACAGGGCCACTCTGCTCTAGCTCTCTCCGTTGCCCGACCAAGTCCAAGGGCCCTTGAAGACGAATCCAAACTCAGGGGTCACATGCTGCCGCCTCCTTCACTTGTTGTGCTTGGACTAAAATGAATTTGTTTTAATGGAGATATAATTCACATACCATACACCTCACCCTCTTAAAATATATATTTCAGTGGTTCTTAGTACATTCACAAGGTTGTGCCACCATCACCTCTATCCAGTTCCAGAACATTTCTATCACCCCACAAGGAAGCCCGCGCCTATTAAGCAGTCACTGCCTATTCCCCTTAGCCCTTGGCAACCACTAATCTACTTTCTGTCTCAGTGGATTTGCCAACTCTGAACATTTCATATAAATGGGATCATACAATATGTGGACTTTTGTGTCTGGGTTTTCACTTAAAATAATGTTTTCAAGGTTGGCACAGTGTACGTATTTTTTAAATGTGGCTTAGAAGGTCTTAGGTAATGTGAATTACTAACACAGAGCTCACTTAGAGCCAGGCGCTCTGCTAAGCGCTTTATTCACTGCATTCATTTAACACTAATAACAGCCCCATGAGGTGGGTGGTGTAAGGAACCGAGCAGTTAAGTGACTTGCCCCAGGTTGTAGTAGTGCTGGGCAGGCTTGCTCCAAAGCCGGCACCCTCCCTCTGCTGGCTGGGCTACCTCTTTTTTTTTTAAGGTTTTTTTATTGGGGAATTGGTGGATGGGAACAGCGCTGGGGGGTTGAGGAAAGGGGAACAGACAAGTTGCTGTCCTTTTGGTCTTCAGTCTAGTTGTGGAGGACGTTGCTTCACTGGCCCAAGTTGGCACCATCATTGCGCTCTTCCCGGAGGAGGCATATCAGCCGCCGGCTTCTGGACGGCCACTCACAGCAGCTGCTGGCCACTCATGCTGGCTGCTGGCCACACATGGTAGCCCATGGCAATCTGCTGCAGCCTATGCCGTCGCCGGCGGTGACTCACAGCAGCCCAGCTCCAGGTTGAGCTGTTGTTCAGCATCTTAGCTGTAGAGGGCAGTGTCACTGGCCCTCATATGTGGGATCTGAACCAGGGCCCTCTGGCGTCCCAAGCCAGCTCTTAACCAACGTGCCACTCGGCTGGCCTTTTGAAGAGAGTAGGCACTCTTATCACACTGATTCTCGACCACTTCTCACATTTCTCTGACCTGCCTCATCCCTGGAAGTATCTGCGTTCATGCCCCCTGCTTTGGTTATTCAGATAAACCTGAGTTGAAGTCCTAAACCTCAGTGGACCCCATGTTTTGCATCTGCACTATGGGTTACCACTTAGTTATTTTCAAGGCTGTAGGCAAACAGCCATTATAGACCTCAGGAGACGAGAGGGGTCACCGTGCCAACATGTCAGGGGAGTTAGGAGGGGGAAATGTGTGTGAGGCACTGAGAACCCGGTGCATGGAAGACATCGGGGAAATGGAGCCCTCGTTATGACTACCCACCCGCACCACTGAGCTAGTCCCCATTGCTCAGAAGAACAGCTTCCCGTTTCTGTAGGTGCATAAAGGCGACAGGCCTGTCCTCAGAGGAGTTTCCGAAGCTAGTAAAATACACAGTGGACTAAAACCCCATCTGTAATTAAAACAGGGATGACTTGTTAACCACGCTTTTAAATTCCTGGGAGCCTAAAATCTGCGTCAACTTTCCAGCATCTGGGCGGATTTCCCAAATCATGCTTCGAGGTTGTGTGCACCCTCTGAAGCCTGTCAGCCTTTCTTAGTAACATCTTGCTGCTGAGGAGCTAGAGCAGAATAAAGTGGCTCTTGGGCAGGCCTGCCCCATCCACCACTTTGGTGCTCCAGGAGAGCCAGCAGGTGCCTAACTGAGCATCTGTTTTCTGTTTCTTCATTTCGACACACCCGCTCTGAAACTGCCTGCATTCCCGGAAGAAGACCACAAATGCAAGGCCTGTATTTGTCATCGTATTTTTCACAAAAGATCCAGAAAACTGGGTCCCTACTCTGAAGCCAAAGCTTCTCCTGCTTCAGCTTTCTTAATTAAAATTAGGTCACTGGCAGGCCGACCAAGTGGCGTGTTGGTTAAGAGTTGGCTTGGACGCCAGCTCTGAGCAGCAGGTCCCCAGTTCGGATCCCACATGAGGACCAGTGACGCTGCGCCCTCTACAGCTAAGATGGTGAACAACAGCTCAACCTGGAGCTGGGCTGCGTGCCCGGTAGGCTGCAGTGGGGCTGGCCAGCAGCGGGCGTGAGCTGCCGTGAGCTGCCGTGAGCTGCCGTGAGCTGCTGTAAGTGGCAGTCCAATGGCGGGCGAATGACTGCCTCACCCGGGAAGAGAGCAATGATAATACCAACATGGGCCAGTGAAGCAACCTCCTCCACAACTAGACTGAAGAACAAAAGGACAGCAACTTCTCTGTTCCCCTCCCCGCAATTCCCCAATAAAATCTTTAAAAAGAAAATAAAAAAATAAAATTAGGTCATTGGGTAGCAGCCTTATCTGGATAGGATCTTGGCTCACTCTCTTCCAAGCTATGTGACCAGGGGCCCCTCATGCGGAAGGTGGGTGTAATAATACCTAGCCAGCAAAACTGCTGAGACAATTAAAAACAATAATGCGAAGTGCTGTCACACAGCGAGCACTCAGGAAAAGGTAGCTGATGACAGGGCTGCAGATCTGAGAGTGATACACGCCTGGTTCCCTCAAGACATTAGGCATTGTGAGTTGTTAGGCGTTATACAGACTGCTCATCTGACTGAGGTTCAGAGAACTTTCCCAAGGCCACGTGGCCAGTCAGAGGTAGAAGGAGAGCAGCCTCCAGCTATAAAGGCATAAGCCTAGTGCTTAAAAGCAAGGGCTGTGGAATCAGACAAGTCCAGGATCAAATCTGAGCTTTGCCACCTGAGCAAGTTACTTCACCTCCTTGTGCCTCCATTTGCTCATTTGTAAAATGGTTGCACCAGTTCGCAGTTTCCTCCACCGCCTCCTAAATCATCTAGTGCAGCGGTTCTCAACCTGTGGGTTGCGACCCCTTTGGGGGTCGAATGACCCTTTCGCAGGAGTCGCCTAAGAGCATCGGAAAACAAAAAGATATTTACATTATGATTCATAACAGTAGCAAAATTACAGTGATAGAATAGCAACGAAAATAATTTTATGGTTGGGGGTCACCACAACATGAGGAACTGGATTAAGGGGTCGCAGCATTAGGAAGGTTGAGAACCACTGCTGTAGTGTAACACTTGATGGTGAAAAGCCGAGACCTGATCATTTTTATTCCTCACCTTGTCAATATGCACACCATGTTGAAGACTTTCAGAAGACAGCTTTGAAGCGAGTGTCACTGTTCTAACTTTTTTTGTGCTTCCACATTCAAATTTTCCACATCATTAGATGTAAGTCAATGAAGTGATTATACTTTTCCCCACAAATGCACCATACACAAAATTAAAATGTTAACCTCAAAGGGAAAAAGAAAATTCAACAACTCTGCAACTTGCTTTAGTTTTCTTCATAGCACCAGCAATATACTGTATAGATTGCCATGTTTGTGTTTGTCTTCTCCTCCCACCAGAATGCCAGCTCCATGAGCAATGAGCAGTCTCAGTTCTGTTCACTGCTGCACCATCAGTGTCTACAACAGAGTCTGGCACCTTTGCAGAATGCTGTACCAACTCCAGGACGGTTGCTCACGAGAAACATTTCTGCAGCTTTTGCAAAACTGCCTTGGCTAGCGCTGTCCACTGTTTTCCCGTGTTCCTTATATGTAACACAAGTCTCACTAGAACTCAGTACTAGGACAAACTTTTGATTTTGCTAAGCTCATTTGTTTTTCAGTAGCTGAATTTGCCTTCATTGTCACGAAGCTCAGAGCACAATTCTGTGCTCAATTGCAGTGTTCTCCTTAAAGCCCTTTTCTGATGTGGAGATGGGATATAAATAAGTGTAAGAAGACGGCCGGTACACGCGGAGACCCTATTTTTAACTACAGGCTGCATTTATTCTAAGAGGACGCTTCCAAGCTTGAATGCAAAATACCCGGGATCTAGTTAAAATGCAGAATCTGACTCAGTAGGTCAGGGGCGGGACCCGAGATGCTGCACTCCTAACAAGTCCCAGGTGATGCTGTGTGGGCTCTGGACCACACTCTGAGTAGCCAGGATCTAAGAAACTTGCTCCCTTGATTCCACAGAATCCCTTTCTCCTCCTTCTTGGCAAAATATCACCAATGGCTGAAAACTGGGGCGGGCACCAGACGCACCTGAGGAGCTGGTTAGACCTACACATCACCTTCCCCGTGGAGACCCTGACAAAGGGGGGTAGGAATGGGCCCAGGAAGCTCCCCAGGTGCTTCTACCGCAGGTGGCCTCAAAACACATTTTGAGACGCCCCACTCGAGGGAATGAGTGCTCTCTTCAAGGTTTTCCCAAAGGCCATCTGCTGGGGGCAGCTACTGTCACCAATGGAGACACCTTGTTCAGGATTTTAAGGGGGTACTATCTGGCTCTTTCCAGCCCCGCACCAGGAGGGGTCCCGGTCCCTCCTCTCTGGCCACGTGGATTGCGGCAGGCTCAGCCCCCGCGGAATCCTGGCTCGCACCCCCGCACCCCCACCCGCAGGCTATCTCCGCCGCAGGCCCAAGGGGCGGGCACCAGGCCGCTCATGCGCACCACGGGGCCACTGGGGCGCAGAGCCCCCACCTCGCGGGCCCCCAGGGTGGGGTCCCCCTGCGCCACCCGCCCTCCTTACCTCTCTGGATCAGAGTGGCCAAGGAGAAAGCGAGGCAAACGAGGAACGCCGAGTGCCAGGCCACCATGGTTAGAAGCAGGTGGAGGGGGCCCAGAGGAGCACAGTTGGCTCGAGAACGCCCGCGGGGGAAGTTGGGGAGGAGCAGGGAAAGAGGAGGAGCGGCAGGAGGAGGAGACCGCTGCCACCGCAGGACCCGCCCAGAGCCGGCGCGCCCCCGGAGGGCGGGGGGAGCGCGCATGAGCGCTGGCGCCGGGCGCGCGCCAGGCTGAGGCAAGGTGAGGTGGGGCGGGGCTGCGACAGCGGCGCGAGGGGGTGGGGCGAGCCTGCAGTCTCGGGGGTGGGGTCTCTGCACAAGGGGCTGGACCGCAACTTGGGGGCAGGTCTTCAGCAGGGGGCGGGGCTGGTGCGCAAGGGGCGGAGCCCGCGGTCACCCAGCGGGTGGGGTGGTCTGGGCTGGGTCCCGCTCCAGCGCGCGGCCCACAGGCCCCTTCCTACCCGGGTCCTAGAAATGGAAGTCCTAGAGGTGGACCCTGCGGGCCCGGAACAGTAACTCAACAGTGGCGGGGCAGTCAGAGGTGCCTGCGATTAGAGTGTGTGGTGATTTCCACCCGATGTGCCAGACTCCGCCCCGGCTGTAGCAGGACCCAAGGCAGAGCACCAGCCAGGTGCACTCTGCTAGCTGGGGGACCCTTGGACAGAGCTCTTCCCCTTCTAACTGGTGTGATCCTTGTAAAAGGCTCTTCCCTAGGGGCCCCTCCAGCTGCGGCTCCAGGGCAGAGCACCCGCGCACTTGCCCCAGTCGCTGTAGCGGCGCTTGCTTTTCAGAACCGTTGGCTGTCCGCCCATTCGCTGATCCCTGCAGGAAGCTGTAGTGGAACCCAATCCAGAGATTAAAGAAAAGGGCCGTTTTCATGATTGGGAAACAGCAGCACGCCTCAATGAAACAAGCCCGAGGCCGGGGACACCGCAGCAGGCGAGAGGGAGAGTGGAGGGCGCCCTAAGCCTGAGCGCCGGCGGGCCCAAGGGGACGAGGGAGGAGGGACAGGGTCAGCTCTCCCGAGGCTTTGATGAATGCGCTGAAAGCGCAAGTTCACATCTGCAGAGTCGATTTGTAAAACGTGCTCACTGAACGACAAACGCGCTGCAGTCCTTGCCTATGAACCTCCGCAAACGGAGTGCATCTCCGGCACCGGACGAAATCAGATTCCGACACTGCCCTGAACAGCAAAATGCCCGCTGCAGCCTTTGACGTGAACGCCCTCAGGAAGGGCTCCAGCTGCAGCCAGCTTTCGAGGACAAAGAAAGCGCCGCTGCTCTGCGGAGCGGTGGCGTCGATCCTAGCCCTGCCATTATTGGACACTGGCTGCTCTGGGCGACATCCTCTTTAGAGGGGGGCTACCACCACCTCCCCCAAGTGTGCCTTCAGTAGGCTTGCTGTGCCCCCCACCAGCCCCGCCCTCCAGAGACCCCCACAGTGGCTCTCTCCACCCCCTGAGCCATAGTGAGGGGGCGGGGGTCTCCCTGCGATGGAGCCTGTGACTTCCATCCATTGCTCTGAATCCTGGGGCTGGAAAAACAAAACATATGAGTCGCTGTTTGGAGTTTCAGAGCAGTGCTTATTCTGACACTAACTAGCCGGAGAATTAACAGAAATAGCGAGTAGTTATTGAACACACACTACATACAATATATGGCATATTCCAGGCATTTTATCCGTATTTTTTATTCCTCACAACTTCATGTATCACCTCAATGATCTATGAGGGGAAAGGAGCAAAATGGAGGTTCCTTGAGGTTGGGAGCTAATCAGCTCCAGTCCCATAGTGTCAGAGGGCAAAAGCGGATCACTAGGAACCCCAGTGTTGATGGCTAAGAACATGTGCTTCCAAGCCAAGCAGGGTTGAAATCCTGGCTGAACCCAATAAGGTTGTGCTAAGGATTAACTGAGACGGTGGAAAAGTGGGCAGCCTGGGACATGGTGAGCAGAAAGGCATTACTTGCTAGTCTCATTACAACTAAGAAAATACTGGCTACTGTGAGGTTGAGCAGTTACTGTGTATTCCAGGGCACAGATATGCCTTCAACTCTCCCAGTAACTCTGGGTGCCTTGGGCCGTTCCCTTGTCCCCTGGCCTCAGTAGTCCCATGTGTACCAGGGGAGCACTGGATATCACCGTCTTTAGGAGCCCTTCAGGCTCCTATACACTTGGCTACACTGAGGAGGTGAAGAAAATGCAGCCCCTGAGTTGAGGCCATCTCAGTCAACATGCTGTGGACAGTCACACACACCTGGAGCTCTAACTGGTACATGTGCAGTGCGCACACCTAAAACCCACCAGCAGAACACTGGCTGTGGTGTTATGTACAGTAAGACTATCTTCTAGATCACGGGTAGTTGGCACACTATGGGCCCCTGGCCGAATCCCGCCCACTGGCCAAATCCCACCCACCAGCCAAATCCAGCCCACGGGCCTATTTGTATGGCTTGCAAACTAAAAGTGGTTTTCTCCATTTTAAGTGATTGAAAACTCACAAGAAGGTTATTTTGTGACATGGAAAAGTTATAGAAAAGTCAAATGTCAGGGTCCATGAAGTTCGTGGGCACACAGCCACACCCATTTGTTTCTGTATTGGTGTTTTTTTTTTACAACCTTTCTTTCACCTTTTACTTTATACAGTTTTATTATGTTTGAATTCTTTTTTTAAAAAAAACTTTATTGGGGAACAATGTGCTTTTTGGGGGGGAAGAGTATGTTTTTCCCAGGACCCATCAGCTCCAATTCAAGTTGTCCTTCAATCTTAGTTGTGGAGGGCGCAGCTCAGCTCCAAGTCCAGTCACCTTTTCAGTCTAGTTGCGGGGGTGGGGGGGGTGGCGCAGCCCACCATCCCATGTGAGAGTCGAACCCGCAACCTTGTTGTTAAGAGCACGCGCTCTAATAAACTGAGCCATCCGGCCGCCCTGTTTCTGTATTGTTGATGGCTGTTTTTGCTACCGCAGCACAGCTGAGTATTTGTGACAGAGACCATGGAGCCCACAAAACCTAAAATAGTTACACTTAGCCCTTTACTAAGAAAGTTAGCTGGCCTCCATTCTAGCAGCTACAGCTCTGGCAAGGATGAATTTTAACAGGTGATGTGTGAGACCTAAAGCTCATGTTCCACAGAACAGGGGATGACACAGCAATAAGAACCAACAGAAAAGGGAAATGTTTACCATGTGCCAAAAGAAACGCACTTTAAAAAAAAGGTAATTAATCAAAATATTACAAATGTCTGAGGTTAGTTATCCTACCAGATAACTCTCCCTGTGTAATATGACTCACCTGGGGCCTGGCTTGTCTCTCGGCCTCATATAAGTTAGGTTAGTGTGAGTTTGAGGGGGCTGATGATATCTGGCCCTGAGCCTGCCAGGCTGAAGACCACCTAGAACTTGGTGAGCCTCTCAGTCAGGTAGCGGCTATCCTGCTGAATTGAAATTGAACATGGAGTTGATTTACATACAGGAAATTCTACGCTTAGAAACCATGATTCTGTGCTTCCCATCGCCCCACGCACATACGCTTCTCACTGCCAGTGCACGTGGGAGCTGGGATGGACTCCTGGCGGAGCCTTCCTTGTCCCACCCTCTTGCTACTCTTCCTGGAACTTCTCATATCCTGAAAATTGTCAGCAATTGGAAAAGCATTTGGTCTGACAAGCTCCTCTCCTAAAACACTCAGCTTTCCTCAACTCTGACCCTGGCAGACTACTGTGCCATGGACTAATGACCACCAGGCCCGTGGGAGTACAGGAGATGCACAGATTGAGCTGGGAGGTCTTCCACTAACCTGAGTTAAGGAGACTTCTAAGGGCTAGCCTGGTATTCTACCACTGCCCAACTTTCCACCTCCACCCTCATTACGCACTATATACTTGGGAAGATGTGTTCTAAATTCCAAAACAGCTGTCATCTCACTATCATTAGTGCAGATTTCCTGTGTTGCTCCCAAGCGCCACAGAGCCCTCCTTGCAAAGTCCCCCAAGGGGGTCTCCCTCACCCACAGCCAAAATCAGCCCCACCTGGTGGCATCTGCCCACCAGGGCCCTAGAAAGGCCTTGCCACCGCCCCCACCACTGTTGAAGGAGCCCATCCTGAGAGCACCACTGTCCATGTCAGGACTGCCACTTCCTGCTAACTCCCTCCCACACACACACACACACTGATCCTTGGGGTGCCAGAGCGGAGAGGGAGTCCACATTAAGGCAGGCGCGGTGACAAAGGTCTCTGGGACCGAAGGCAGCTCAGCTTGTGCTCATGGATTCAACAGTCCTTCCATCTGCATCCTTTCTTCTCCTACAGCTTAGGGACCTAACCCCTCTAACCAAACTAGTTTGTGGGCTCCGGCAAGGTAGGGGTGGGAAAGGAGCAACACTCCCCCTCCCACCTTGCTCCCCACTGTGCGGGCCAATTAAGACACAAAGACTCCGTGCATATCAATAGGAATGCTTGCAGCTAGCCCTGGGGAGAGGGAGCGCCACGGGCTACAACAGTTCCCTAAATGCCTGACATCAGACATCAGCAAGTCTTTACCAGTCCCAGGCGAAATAAGAAAAATGAGGTTGTTGTGGCAAGTTTTCCCCCATAAAGCTAGAGTACTGACCTTTATTCTGAAATCATGGAGTTTTTTGGTATACAAAAGTCCTTTATTTCATGAAAAGATGGTAGTGTTTTATTTAATGTGCTTACTTTGCAAAATAGAAAGTTGGCAACCCTAGCCGTCCCCAAATTAAAAAAAAAAAAAAAGAAAAGAAAAGAAAAAAGAAATCTACTCGCCAGAGAAATTCACAGGTCTGGGAATCACTGGCTGTACCAGCAATATTGAGCCCACCCAGAGCCCTGATACATAGGAATTTTTTGAAACACACCCCATATGTAAACAGAAACCCTGAAGATGAATTCTAAAACAATGTTTCTCTTTCATATTTTTGGAGTTGTAAGCAAATTATCCCTCATTCTCCTCCTCCTCGCCCCAGCATTCTTATTCTCTCCCCTCTTGGATTTTATAGTAAGGCAAGGTCAGGCAGAGCCTTGAATGCCACGCTAATGAGCAAAGATTTGATCCCGAGAACAAAGGGAAGCCACTAAAGGGTTTTAAGCATTAAGTGGCAGAGACAGAGAAAGTGGTCCACAGCAGTGGCTGCTGGCATCATCTACGGAAAGAGGCTGGGAGCCATGGGGCTGAAGAGAAGTTGGGAGTTCAGAGT